AAATCTCCTACTATCAAATGATAATCTAAAGGAATAGTTGTAGAAGAAGTCAGTATTGATTGTCAGGCTTCCATGGGCTCTATAACACAATTAATAGCCCAAATATCTTGTAATAATCTCCAGTTGCCAGATTTTTCTTAATTACAAAGATGGGTGTGTTCCACATGTTCCAAGGTTCTAAGTGGCCAGCCTGAAGTTGTTCCTCAGCTAACATGTGAGCTATTTTAAGTTTTTCCCCTGTTAGGGGCCATTGACTAACCCAGATTGGCTCTTCAGTGAGCCAATTAATTTTTTCTGCTGTTCTCTGGGTCGGGGATAAGGTCAGGGCCCCCTACCAAAAATTTCTGCTGGGTGCATTAATTAATCTCTGTTGGGGAGGTTGGGTTATAGGTAGGTATCTTCTTGTAAATTTTTTCTCAATTTCTCTAGGAATAAATTTTTGATCTCCCTCAAATGACATGATAGAATTTGGAGTTACTAATAATAAACCTAAGTTGCTCAGAATATCATGGCCCCACAAATTTACTGGTAAAGTGTCTAAAACATAAGGCTTGAAAATTCCAGAATTACCATCTTTATCTTCCCAGTGAAGATACTGAGCCCTTTGTGCAGGTTGAGGGATCTGACCTATGCCTTCCAAGTTGGCAGGCACAATATGTAAAAGCCAGCTTTTGAACCAAAATCTACCTGATGGAACAGACATCAGCTCCAGTATCTACGATACCCCCCAATTTTTTGTGATTGATTTTAAGATCCAGTAGAGGGCGCTCCTGCTGAACTAATTGAATTGAGCCCGGTGCACTCAGTCTGAGAACCCGGAAGTTGAGGTCTTATCTGTGCTCTCAACAGAGCTGCAAGGCAGGAGTATTAGCTGCTCTGGCACATCTCTTGTGGAGAGCTAAGTGCCATGGCCTGATTGCACAGTGATCTCAGTCTCATCTCTAAAATTTGAATCAATCACTCCTGGCAGTACCTGAATTCCCTTTTAAAAATTGTTTCATCTCCAAATTAGACCTATGGTATTTGGGGTAGGAACTCATTGCGGCCCCACTTCAGGCACTAAAGTTACTGCCAGGGCTGATTGTAAGAGCACGGACTCTGTAGAGCTAGCTGGTATAGTGGTAATAGCTGACATGGCCGGCCCTGATGACATCAGAGTATGTGACTCCTCTTCCCCGGCACATACTACAGAGCCCCTATTGTTTGGGGCCCTAGACCAGGCCCTTGCCTCTGGTTTCCCGACCCCAAATAAGACAGAAGTGAGGTCAGAATTGGCATCCGGCCATTGCTGCCACCGCCATATCTGTCCAAATCTTCCCATGCCTGCAGTCATCTCTCCAGTAGCTCATCTACATGAACCGGGAGAGGCCTCTGCCTTATTGCGTGATGACCCGCTGTCCCAAGCCATGTGTCCAGTTCCACCACAGTTGAAACATCACCCATGAGAATGGCATCTCCAAGACTGAGGCTGAAGTACCTGTTTTAGAACCACAGCCAGTGTAAAACTCTGTAATTGTGTAGGACCAACACCTGCACAAAGACAGATGAACTCAGAGATCGTCCCCTTCTTCCAATGGGGTCAGAGGATTTCCTGACAAATTTTATTATTGTTCTCAAATGCTAACTGCTTGACTAGGAATTCAGAGGCATTCGAGTCTCTGATTGATCTGTTTGCTCCCTGATATAGATGTGCCACATAATCAGAAAATGACCCCTCTGATTCCTGTTTAACCTGACTAAAATCTAAAGTTGATGGACCCAGGTGCCATTTTGGCACCTGCAGTTATTTGATCATATATCGCCAGATTGTGATTCAATTGTCTCTCCAGGTCCCTAAAATCCCCAGTTCCCGTTAACATCTCCAAAGGGGCCTCAAAGCCTTGCCTCCGGTTTCTCTCAGCCTGTTGGGTGCAATAATCAGTCCAGTGAAATCGTCAAAGGAGATAATCACCCCCTGATAGACAAGCCTTGGCTATAGAGATCCAGTCACAGGGTGGTAAAGGCTCCTTGCATAACGAATCAAGCTTTAAACAAAGGCTGAATTTGGACTGTAAGTACAGCAAGCACTTTTGAGTTCCTTTAGAGTCTTAAAAGGAACTACAGCATGTACACAGACATGCTGATTTTGCTTGTTAATCTGCTCAAAGACTGGAAAAGGCTGAAAGCCTGTAATGTTCTCCCCCTCCCCTGCTTCCTGCATTATCCTAAGGCCACACTGGAAGGTATACTCATGGCTACCACCAGCTCAGAGTAGTCACTGAACCTCGTTCTCCTGGAGGAGAGGGGCTGGATCTGAATGGTGGGCACAGGCCAGCCAGATGTAACCTACCAAATCCCTCCTCCAGGTCTTCCTTACCCTCTGACTGAGTCTGAGAAACTAATGTGACTCCATTTTTGAGAAACCAGCCTCTACCTCAGAGCAAAGCCTGTCCAAGAAAGGGGGCGTGACCCTTGTCCTTGGAAAAACTCACAGAGCACTCCTAAGCACATACCCACCCTGCTGAGTTGTTTGTCTGTAAATAACAGGAGAGGTCTGTGGTGCCAGGTCTCCCTGACTCAGACAGGCTAGGTGAGGATCCATACAATCCCCCTAGCAAACTCCAATCAGCATGAGACAGGGAAAATACCTGGGATGCCAGATGACCCCCAAGTAGTTTATAGTGGTTGATAACATGTTAGGAAACTGTTGGGTGCAGAGCAGGATGAACTGTGTTGTCTGTAGGGCAGGCTGAACAGATGTTGGCTACAAGATAGCCCACACACTCAAACCCCCCTCTAACTGGTCCTTTATCACCTGTTTGCCTCAAGTCTGAACATTCAACCCTGCTCAAGGCTGAACACTTAACCCCCGCCTTGGGCCAACAAGGCAGCTTGCAGACCCAGAGGCCCCATTAGATTTGGGCTATAAAAACTCCCTCCTGCCAGTCCCCCCCCCCTCTCTCTCTCTCTTGCTCTCTTTGTCTTTCTTGCGTGCGCTCTCTGTCTCTCTCTTGCTCTTGCTCTCTCCCTCTTCATCTCTCCTCTTCCCTTTCTCTCTCTCTCTCTCTCTCTCTCTCTCTCTCCCCCCCTCTCCTCTCTCTCTCTCTCCTTCTTTCCTTTCTCTTTGTTGCATTGCTGCAATAAAGATCTTTTGGTTGCTCCGAGTGTTGTGGTCACTTTTCTTTCAGAAACTATGTAGTTTAGCACATACACCCCTCGTGGCCTAAACCAATCAGTTCAAATGAATCCCCCTGTTGTACTAACCAATCACCCCTACCCAACTTGTTCCCGCAATTGAATGTGCTAATCAATGTTAAGAGTTGTTGTTTGATTTTCCTGCGGTATGGAATGATTTGCTGTGTGATGTTGTAACGCACAGAGTATCTCCCCAAAACCTATAAAATCTCACTGAACAAAGGACTGGGACTCACTCCCTGGGACCGCTGCATCAGGAATGGTTGTGAGTCCTGGTTAGAGCTTGCAATAAAGATTCTTGTGTGATTGCATCGGATTTGGCTCCTGGAGGTCTACTGGGGTCCCACGACTCTGGCATAACAAGTCTCCTCACACTGAAGCCCAGCTTCATCAGTATCTTCCTGTCCATTTTCTTCCCCTCCATCCTGAATCTGCCTCCAAGAAACCTGATCAGGGCTGGTTTCCTCTCTGGAACTTGGTGCTCCCCTAAATCACTGGTTCTGTCTGGTTCAGCTGTGACTGAACTTGTGGTCTTAGGTCTTGCCCTGAGGCTGTCTGTCTGCGGTTTGTGAGCTTCAGACTGAGCTAAAATCGACTCTGCCTCCATCCCACTACAGATGGAGAAAACCACCTGGGAGCAGCCTCAGGCTGCTTGTCCTGCTCCAAACTCCTAATGGCTCTCTGACGCTGCCCCTTTAACAGGTCTTCTGGAGACCACTGGTCCTCCTCTCGATCTTCAAAAAGACACATTTCTAAAGCAGTCCAGAGCTTCTGAACACTCTCTATTGTACTCTTCGACAGCTTGGAAGAGAGGCAGCTTTTATACAATTTTCTATCTAGCCTCTCCCAAGTACGCAAATCTGGTGACTGTTCCTCACAAAACCACCAGCATGTCATTAACTGTTTTCATGAATTGAGCCAGCTGGGGCCTCCTGACTTGTTTTCCTCTCTGGTTGAATAGAGTCTCCCGGATTATTAAGTACATTTCTTTATCTGAAGACATGGAACTGCCCATGATAGTTCTTTAACATCCCTGGCTCTCAAACTGCCTACTTCCTGTGTAACCCAAAAAGACATGGCTCACAAAATTTCTAAAGTGCGCTCACTCAGTCTACCTGGAAATTCACCCTGAGCGGTCCCTGATTCCGGGTGCCACCTCTAAGGATGCCTCTGTCCTGTCCCTGTGCCCTGCAGGCCTGGGGACTGTGTCAGTGGCCTGGACCTCCACCACCTGACACATGGTGCCTCCTTCTGCAGGGAGGCACCTGCACAGGCAGCTGAACTTAAAATAACTTGTGTGAATGTGCAGGGACACCAAATAAAACACAGACACAATTTGCCTTTACACAAACTTCAGGAGGGCTTCTCTGCTCTCGGCCTCAGGCTCCCCACAAGGGAGAGCAAGAGAAAGTCATGAGAGGCTGGGGAGAGAGTGCAAGTGCATTTGGAAGTGGGCTTTTATTGGGGGGACTCTTGTTCTTAGAACGTTCTATCCAAAAAAGGCCAGAAGGGGCAGGGTTATAAGGGACACGTGACTATAACTGACTCTCATGGGTAATACCTACACCTGAAGACCTGCCTCTCTATATGAGCTGGGACAACGCCCAAGTCACCACAAAATGTAGAGATTGGTCAGAATCTCCTGCTTCAGGACTGTGAGGTGTTCGGTCACTCACAGTGGCTCCCACTGTGTTTGACTTCTAGTTTGACTCCAGGAGGTCACAGAACACATTCTGTGTGATCTGGATCCATTGAACATAACTTGGAGTATGTCCCCGTTTAGTCAGCTTTCTTGCTGCTGTGATAAAAAGATTGGACCAGAGCAATCGTAGGGAAGAAAAGTTTATTTGAGGGCTCACGGTTTCAGACATCTTAGTCCATAGAAGGCCAGTTCCATTCCTTGGGGCTTGAGGTGAGGCTCAACATCACAGCAGGAGAGTGTGGCAGAGGGAAGCAGCTTACATCGTGATCAGAAAGCAGAGAGAGACTGGCTTTCCAGATATAAAATACAGACCCTGCAGCCACACCCCTGATTCCCAGCTCCTCCAGCCACACCCACCACTTCAGTGACACTCAGTTAACCCTATCAGGGTTAAGACTCTCACAACCAATCATTTCTCCTCTGAACCTTCCTCAGTTGTCTACGTGAGCTTTTGGGAACACCTCACATCCAAACCATAACAGTCCCATAGGTATATTTTGCTGTTGGTGGCTGGAATGCTCCAGGAATGTTGGTTCACAGTCTTAGTGGCTGATGGTTCTGGTGAATTCTAGATGTTCTTCCAACATGACTTGTAGAGCCTCATCAGGGAATTCTGACATCTGTCACATCAGTACCTCATCTGTTAATTGCCTCATTAAAGTTGACGTTTTCCTAGTTCTTGGTGTGATGAGAGATTCTCAGTTGAAATCTGGACACTTGGAGTCTCTTGAGACCCTGGGCTTATTAAAACCTATGTCAGTGTGCTTCCTCTTACTAGGCTCTGGAAGAAGTCAGGATGCCGTCCTGTCACCACCAGGTAGGGACAGGAGTCCAGGTGCAGAGCATGGCCTCCTGGAGATGGGAGGCTCCTCTTTGGGGTGGGGCAGAGGTGACCATCAGGTCCCTATGAGGCCTCTGCTGGCCATTCCTCATGGAAAAGTCAGGAGTACATTGCTACTTCCTGTGGGGCTTCCACTGGCACCAAGGTAGAATGGCCCCCTGGCCAGTGAGCAGGGCCCTGAACCTCCCTCCAGGCCTCCTGTATCATCAACCCTGCAAAAGGGGGCACCCTGTGTCAGGTGGTGAAAGTCGAGGCCACTGACATTGTCCTCGAGTCTGCAGGGCACAGGGACAGGACAGAAGCCTCCTTACAGCCCAGGGAGGACAAAGCCCTGGCTACCACTCATCACCCCTCTGCCAGCCCACAGAGGGGTCAGCTCTTGATCACAGCCTGGGCTCCCCAGCATGGGCATCCATGAGGTTTGACTGACACAGTCCCCATCTAAAAGCTTTCCAGCTTCCCAGGCTGCCTGTCTGTGTCCTCTGGGCAGAGCAAGCCACCAGCATTGGGCTTTTTGCCTGTGCCCAAGGTATTTCTGGGACACCAGCTCCTCCAGCATCCAGTCTGGGATACACAGAGCATAAAGAAACCTTCACCCCTGCATGGTTCCCTGTGTCCCCACCTCTCAGAGCCTCTTGCTTTCTGCATAATGTTCACTGTGGGAGGAGTGGGCAGCTACAGAAGACCAGGAACTAGCCTGGCCTTTAGGGGGAAGGTCACTGCCCATGGGCACACTTTTAAGTGAGGTTAACCAGTGAGGTCATCAGAGCAGTCAGGGGTTTCTACAAGCTGGTATTTCTCTCTAATCACAGCAAAAGCTGACAGCACCTTATATGTATTAAGCACCCATTTTGTGCCTGATCAGAAAGCAGAACTCCCTTCCCAGGAACCCAGCCCCTGGCCACTAGAGGGCAGAGTCTGGAAACAGCAGCTCTGCCTGGGCCACCTGGTGGACAGGATCCTCCTGGGGAGCAACAGGTGGCATTGGGTGACCCCGAGCTGCTATTTCTTCATGCAGCGTCATTTTTCTTTTTTTCTTTTTTTAACCTTTATTTATTTATGTATTTATGGTGCTGAGGATTGAACCCAGGGCCTTGCACGTGCTAGGTGTGTGCTCTACCACCAAGCCACAATCCCAGTCCCAGCATCAGTTTCTTAATAATTAAATATTCTGCTGCAAGCATTGCTGTGATCCCCAAAGCTTGGCCTTGTGCCCAGTGCCACTCCCATAGCTAGGACAGGTTTGGAGAAGAAGCAAGAGGTCTTAATAATTTGCTAGCAAAGGAGAAACGCAGGTTGGGCAGATGGCAGGTTTGAGGACAGGCATACTCTGCACCAGTTCCTCGGCTCATGATTTAAAAAGCCGGCAAACTGCTCCTAGGCAAGGTGGTAACTATGAGAAATCATTGGAGTCAACTGGAAAGCAAAATAATCATGGAGACACAAAGTCTGAAACTCTGATCATAATATTAGAAATAATGGCATCAGTGCCACCAGCCCACTGCTGAGGGGAGAGGAGACAGGCAGAGAGAGGGGGAAGCAGGTGAATAAAACTCACTTGGAGCCAGGTGTGGTGGCACACACCTGTAATCCCAGAGGCTCGGGATGCTGAGGCACGAGGCTCACAAGTTCAAGGCCAACCTCAGCAACTTATCGAGGCCCTAAGCAACTTAGAGAGAACTTGTCTCAAAAATATTAAAAAAGGGCTGGGGATATCATTCAGTGGTTGAGGGCCCCTGGTTCAATCCCTGCTACAAAATAAATAAATAATAAAGCCTGGCTTGGAGGAAACTGTGGAACAGAGAGGGACCCAGAGATGGTGGTGGAAGCTGTTGCGTGAAAAGCAATGAATACCGTCTGGCCGAGGGACAGAGAGCTTGGCTGGATTCAGAGCCCTGGTGGTGGGAACCACTTTTGAGGGGCTGGACAACAGAGCAAGCAGAGGTTGGAGGCTGGGAACTCATGCAGGAAGTAGCCAGCCTGATCAGCAGCAGTCACCTGTTGTGGGGCCCAGAGTGTGCCAGGACCAGTGTGCCTGAAAAAAGAGCAGGTGGAGGGCACCTAGGTGATACAGGCTGGGGACATGAGGACAGAGTGCCTTTTGGTGCTGGTGTCCCACTTGAGCATCTTGGAAGGCAAGAGTGACCAGTCAGACAACCAACTGTGTCTGCACTCCAGGTCTGGCCCTGGGGAACAGGATGGAGAGGACCATGTGAAGCCTGTTGAGGTCTAGACTCCTCACCCTAGAAGTGCCAGCTGTAGGAGGCCCCTGACACCTAATCTTCCAGCACAGATTGGCCCCCTCCCTAGCAACAGAGGGTGTGGGTCAAATCTCACCCACCAAACCGTCCCAGCATCAGCCAAATCAACCTCAGCATTGGAACTTCAGTAGGCTTCTGCACTAGCCCCCCAGAGAGCACCCACCAAATCAGGCACCGCCCAGCAGGTGTGTGCCATGGCACCCAGCCGCCAGCCTCCCTATCCTGACTTGGGAGATGGAAAGCTACTACCACCAGCACTGGCTCCTGGCCACAACAGTGAGGCACCAAAGGTGCTGGACTTGGCAACCCCAGCCCTCGACCAAGGGTTACAGGGCCCCAAACTCAATATAGAGAATGAAACTCCACCCTCGCCAACAGTTCTGATCACCTCCATGGAAATAAGCCCTGTGTTCCTCATTGAGGACTTTCCCAATTCTCCTTTTGCATTTCTTTCTTATTATGACTTTTTATTTTTTTTATTTCTTATGTTTTTTAATTATATTTTTTTACAGTTTTCCATTCCTCATGATTGTATATATCGTATAATTGTGCACACAGATGTGTGTGTGTGTGTGTGCGCGCGCGCATGCACGCGCTCTCACTGTGTGGATAGGTTAGAATATGTGTGTGTGTGTGTGTATATATACACACACACACACACATATATATATATATATAACTTTTCTTTCATTTTAATTTTTCTCTTCTTCACTCATTTATTATTCAGACTTAGTTTGACTTTGATGGGGTGAAAATTCAGCAAAGTAGTAGGGTACAAGATCAACACCAATAAAACCATAGCTTTCCTATACTCCAACTCTGATGCCACTGAGGAAGAAATCAGGAAAACCATCCCATTCACAAAAACTTGAAAAAATAAATACTTGTGAACAGTCTAACCAAGGAGGTGAAAGATCTATACAATGAAAACTATAGAACACAGAATGAAAAAAAAATTGAAGAGAGCCTTAGAAGATGGAAAGACCTCCCATGTTCTGGGATAGTCATAATTAACATTGTAAAAACGGCCACACTACCAAAAGCAATATACAGATTCAATGCAATCCCCATAAAAATGCCCATGACATTCTTCACAGAACTTAACATTCATTTGGAAGAATAAGAAACCTAGAATAGCCAAAGCAATACTGAGCAAGAAGAGAAACTTGGGAGGCACCACAATACCTCATGTCAAAGACCAGAGACAAACCCACATACTTACAGCTATCTGATAACTGACAAAGAGCCAAAAATACATGGGAGGAAATACTGGATGCCAGAAATACTGGATATCTATATGTCTCTCACTCTGCATAAGGTAAAATCGAAATGGACCAAAGACCTAGAAATGAGGCCATAAACCCGCAAGATGGAGAAGAAAACAGAGTCATCACTCCATAGTATTGGCGCAGGCACCAACTTCCTCAACCAGATCCCTAAAGTTCAAGAAATAAAATCAAGAATCAATAAATGGGATACCATCAAATTGAAAAGCTCCTGTACAGCAAAGGCTGTGATTAAGAGCATGGAGAGAGAGCCGACAGAATGGGAGAAAATCCTGCCAGCTGCTGCTCTGACAAGGGATCAACGTGTAGAATACGTAAAGCACTCAAAAAGCTTGAGACACACACAAAAACTTAAAAATTAAAAAAAAAAACTAATCAATAAATGAGCAAAAGAACTGAACAGCCTTTTCTCAAAAGAAGAAACACAAATGATCAACAAATATATGAAAATGTTCAACATTCGTAGCAATCAGGGAAATAAAATCAAAACTAGGCTAAGGTTGTATCTCACTCCTATTAGAATGACAGTTATCAAGAATGCAAATAATAATGAATTAATAAATGCTGACAAGGATGAGTGGGGAACGGTACACTCGAGCATTGTTGGAGGGACTGTAAATTAGTGCAACCACTCTGGAAAACAGCATGAAAATTTCTCAAAAAATCTAGGGATGGATCCACCATATAATACAGCTCTCCTGCTCCTTGATATTTATCCAAAAGAATTAAATTCAGCAGATTATGGTGATGGAGGCAATTCTATGTATAGAGCAGTGCAATTCACAAGAGTCAAGTTATGGAACCAAGCTAGGTGCTCTTCAATAGATGAATGGATTAAGCAAATGTGGTGTACATACACAATGGAGTTTTACTCAACCATAAAGAAGAACGAAATTATGCCATTTGCTGGTAACTGGATGGAAGGGGAGAAGATCATGCCAATTGAAATGAGCCAGACTCAAAGAGTCAAGGGTCACATGTTTTCTCTCATATGTAGAAGTCACAGCAAAATAAGGGGAATCAGATATCATAAAGACATAGGGAAAAATCACTCCACCTTTGAGACAAACAGCACTATATAATCAAATAAAAATATAATTGCATATGTGGTGGGTAGAATAAGACATGTTTGGGTTGATTTGACAAATATATATATATAAGGAATACCAGTGAAATAGAAAAAGGACATCAAGAGGGAGGGAGGAGGGACAGGGGAGGGGAGGAAAAGCAGAGTCAATGTAACAAAATCACAGTATGTGCACATATAAATGTGCCACAGTGAATCCCACCTGTATGTTTATGTGGAAAAGCACCAGTCAAAAATAAGTAAATAAATGAGTGAAAGGAAGATCGGTGGAGCAGAGGAAGGGAAATAAGGAGGGAAAGGAAGGAAAAGGGGAAAACAGGGACTGAAATGAAGTAAGTTAAATTCCATGCATGTATTATTTTGTCAAAATGAGCCCAACTATTATGAACAATTATAATGCACTAATAAAAGTAAAATAAGCGGGGGGGGGGGCACAGGTGACTGTGATTCTGCCATGGGGAACACAGGGCTTTTAAAAGAGGAAAGCCAGGATTGGGGTCCAGATCGTATCAGGAGATAGAAACAATTAGTGTCCCTCAGGTGTCCTTTAGAGAACAAGTGATGCTCAAGTTCCCAGGTCTGGAGTTTTCTTATTCTCAGGGGCAGTGACACTTCCAGGCAGAGAAGAACAGGACAGCTTAGCCTGGGACAGGAACAATTTTATTCTCATTCCTGGCTGTTAGGGAGGGAAACAAGGGAGAAGAAGAAAAAGAAACAGTGTCAGTTTTATAAGGCACTGTGGTCCAGCAGCTAGGTGTGTGCTCACAGCATTCCCTTACTGGCCATTTGTACTGTTTCTACAGGAAAATGGGTGGTACCGTCTCCCAACTGCTTCCTACTGAAATTGGGCAATGAAGGAGCTGGAGTGGAAGGTTTTCCCTGTTTTCCTTGGATTTTACCAGAAGGAATGGCAGGTGACTCGAGCTTGGGTGGGAACTGGAGAAGCACACTGGGGGACAGAGTTAAGATCTGACCAGTTTAAACCAGGGTCTTCTGCTCGCCCCTCACGTCTCAGGAAGGGATTCCCATGTGCTGCTTTCTCGGAGCTCAACGGAGGCCTGCTTCTGACGGCCACCTATGTGCAGGAGACAGCAGTTGGCAATGCCCTCTCCCTAGGCACCACTTAGCCACCCTTTCCTTGAACGTCTGATTCATCTCTTCATTTCCCCTATAGATTAGGGTCTCGGGTGTGTGTAGCTCCCACTGACATCCAGTGCTTTGCTCACTTCTGGGGCCCCTTTTGCCATAAAGATGGTTGGTCCTCACTCTGCATCATCTTGGAATTGCTCCCTTAATAGGGCTTTGGTTATTGCTGAAGCTTATTGCTCTCAATTTATCCTAAAAAGGTGTTATTAGTAAAGCAAATATCTAAGGGATTTTGGGGGGGGAGGGGAGGAGGGCATTCAGTAAAAATCCTTTGCCAATTGTGAAAAGGCTATAATTCCTACATTTTGGGTCCCATGGGCTCCTTTCAGTCCTCAGATTGTTTTGGGTACATAAGACACAGACCTGAGCACCCCCTGAATAGTCCGCTGGGGGCATGGCCCTTGTGAGTGGGGCTTGAAGAACTTCACGGGGCATCTCCAATGCCCGTAATAAAGTGTTCACATGTGTGTTTTATCAAGGATCAGACCTGGGCTGCGGGCGGCAGGATGAGCCATGAGAACTCTGTCTCCACCTGGTGGCGCTGCTACCCCATTACCAGGCCATTTTTCATCCTCCTCAGTATAGACAGGTTTGTATTGGTCTACCCTAAGCTGAGGTATCAGGGTACCACCTATCGGTGGCCTGATTTCCCTTGGCCACGTTAGTATCAGTCTTCCGATGGCTGAGATAGTATGATTAGCCCCTGCGCCAGTTTCCCACGGTGTCTATGTCCATATCGCTAGGGCATGTTTAATGACCTTGTTTTCAGTGGTGAGGAGACATCATTTTTCCCCAGGTATCTCCATGGGTGTGCACTATCATGAAAGCATATTTTACCTTCAGCATGTTTACCTTCTTTCCTTCGGACACTCTGAGACCTCTTGTCTAAGTGATTAGCTTGGCTTTCTCAGCTGGGGTAGGCTGTTCTTCCATTTCCACAGAGTAGCTGCTGCTGTTGTCCATGAAGTCTCTCCCATCACTGAAGAGGTCCCCACTGGCCTCTGCAATTGGCCCATCAGACAAGTCCAACCCACTGGTGTAAACAGTCTCTAAGACCTCCAGAGGGTCATGTTGTATCGGCCCCTTATCAGCTGGCAGCAGGCTTGCTGGGCTTAGAGTGGACAGAGTTTAAGGCTGACATTGGGGCTGTCTGAGACCCAGCCTCCTATCTGCCCAGCACTCAGTACCACCCTCTGTTCAATGGCCCCAAGGTCTGGTGGGGGAACCACAGCAAGGGGTTGTTCTAGAGGAAACTTCTCAGCCTCTGTGGTAAATCACAGGTGGCAGCTGTCACCCCACAGGAAGGAGGGCTCTGCTTTTGTGCTGTGGTCAAGTCACTTTAACAAATGGCTACTCGTTCAGCCATCCCATAATGAGAACAGAAGGGGAAAGTCTTGTTGATTTGCTAGCAAAAGAGAAACACAGGGATGCCTGTCTCAGAGGCTGTCCCAGAGGGGACAACACAGGGCTTTTCAGAGGGGAGCCCAGGGCTGGCTTTCAAATCCTATCAGTAGATAGGTAATTAGTGTCCATCAGGTGCCTTAGAGAGCTCTTGCTCCAGTCCCCAGGTCTGGAGAGTGGGCAGTGAGGGACATGACTGACTAGCCTGGGCAGGAAAATGTGTTGGTCTTGTTTCCCCAAATGCCAGGGAGATGGAGAAGGAGAAGAAGGTGGGGTGGGGGGTCCATTTTAAAATAAGCCACCTGCCAAAAAGCAGCAAGGTTTGCACCCAGAACATGAAGCGGACCCCATTACACTTAAAATAACAGAGCAGCCTGTACCCTGAATTCCCCAAGTTTCAGGCTGAGCTTGACCTGGTGAAAAATGGAGAGCTGTAAACACCCCTCATTCCACGGGTGACAGACCCTACGTACACCTACCCTGGGGTTCTCATTCTAGGCTCTCCAGTGCCTGTGGCTGGAGACCAGCCTCTGCTTGTGCAGGGTGGCTGGCTCAGGCCCAGCACCTCCAAACTGAATGGCCAGCACTCTGCCCTCCCCTCCGATGGTCTATTCAGGAGAGTCAGTCCAGATGTGAGATGGGGGTTCCAGGTCACATTGACCTGGGCCAAAACCAGGATGACAAAAGCAACCATACACAATATACCACCAGCAGGCAGGACAGGACAGGAAGCTCCAGGGCACAGACTGAAGGATACCACGGTCACTCATGTAGAAGGAGCCAGAAACCACAGCAAAAAAATATGTAAATCTCCCCCTGGAAGGGCAGTAGAGTCTGACCCTGTGGTGCTTTCATTTTCACTCAGGAAAGTCAAGAACTGCCTGCAGCTCTGATGTCCTCCTGAAAGCAAGAGGAGCGCTTCAGGTCCCAAGGTGGGATCGGCTTCTTGACACACACGTTTGCACATGGCTAGGAAAGGACTGTGCTTCTGCCAGCATGCCCTTCTTCAGGCACGAGTGGGGACAGACATGGAGAAGCAGATAAACACTTGTCTTCAGCAGCCTGTCTCCCTCCTTCCAGCCAACGGGGCCAGCCTTGCATCTTGGGGATCCAGGACCCATGTCTACTCATGCCACTCTAGTTGGAAGAAGGACCATCAATCCAGCTCTAAGCAGTACTGTATGTGACCCCTCCTTTCCTGGTGGACAGTTGAGGCCCAACAAAAATGAGACTTATAATCCAGGTGGAGCCAAGCTGAAGGGAAGGAAACTGCCTACTAAACCAGACGTCAAGGTGGACATCAGACAGGAATACTCCAGATCCAGGTAGGGAAGACGCCGTCCCCAACCTGGTAGAGAACAGGACTGTACCCTGGTGTTTCTGACATGCTGGTGACTCCCTGAGCATGACCCATGTGTGGGGAAACACCCCCAAATAGGCTGGTTATTTATGGCAAATAAAAACCAAGATGAGACCTGAGCAGCTTTGGAAGGTAACTCACCAGGAGTGTCCAGGGAGATTGACAGATACGCATTTAGTACCTGCCTGTGTCTCTCCCTTACCCCCACCCCCAGCCCCCAGCTCCCAGCAGCTTAGAATTTACTCTGAGAATCTGACCTTGCTGGGGTCAGATGGAAGCAGCTTCATGAGTTTTCTGGGATTGTTTCCCAAGAGGTTTGACCCCATCACTCCTGCTTTATGTCCAAGAGTTTCCCAGGCCCTCTTATGGACACTCCGCCTGTCCTCACTCAACTGATCTTATCAATGATCATCACAGGCACCTTGCAGAATCATAGATCCTGGCAGAGGCTCACGTGCACTTCTGAGACATCCTTTGTCTCAATGAACCCTACACACATATTTTAACCACTTCTCGGTGATCCATTATGTATCTGTGTGTGTATATACACACAAGAGGTATATGCTCCAGGGTGGCCTTGTTCACATGAGGTCTGCAAGATGTGCCCGTTGGACAGTGGGCCATCTTTTCCACTCCCATGCTCCAGCTTCACCCTCGACACTTGTAAAAGGTCACCCTCTGTATAGAATCAGGGACGCTCCCACCTTTTCTTCACTCTCAGTCTAAAAAATTAAAGGAAAAGATTTAATTGACAAAAAAACAAAAGTTCATGTACATGTGCTCATCGTTTTTGACATTCTGTCTGTGCATTGCATTAGTATTGAGAACGCTCTCTTGCAGCCTCGGAGTTCACTTTTTTAATTTTTTTTTTTTTGTATCAGGAATTGAACCCAGGGATGCTTAACCACTGAGCAACATTCCCAGCCCTTTTTTATATTTTTATTAAGGAAAGGGTCTTGCTGAATTGCTTAGGGCCTAAATTGCTGTGGCTGGCCTTGAACTTGCAGCCCTCCTGCCTCAGCCTCCTGAGCTGCTGGGATGGCAGGTGTGGCCAGAGTTCACCTTCTTTTCAGAGTGCAGTTTCTCTGTTTCCAAAGACCCTAAGATGAAGGAATGAATGCCTCCACGTGATTTCTAAAAGCAGATCACCTGTGACACACAGAAGAGGAGAAAGAGAGCATCATTACTTCTCCTTAGCCTCAGGGAACACTGAGTGTGGTCTGTAAGAATTGACATACATACTTCCTGTGAGTGGGACCACGATACCACACCACGGGGACTCCTCAGTGGCCTGCATCTTCACAGACTCTCCCTGCAACTGGGTGGAAACTCACTTCCCCTCCCACTGGCTCCCCTGTTCTCCATTGTAAAGCTCCACCAAAATTGGTGATGGAGATTTCAGTTACATTCCACTTTTTATTTATTTATTCATTCATTCATTTTGCCTTTTAGACAGTATTTTGATGCAGAATCTTGTATTCCTGATGGGCACACTTACCCACTCATTTCCAACCCTAGGATAGTCTAAGTTTTCCTCCTGCAACCTCGGGATTCTCTGTCCTGCGTGGAGTGACTTCACTCCCACGGTCTAATGTGCAGGATGTGCAGTGAAGTGACCGAGCTGCCAGTCCAGATCCCAGCTCTGCCTCAGGCCAGTTGACCTCCCTGCACTCAAGTTTTCCCACCATCAAAATAAGAAGGGATATTGATTTGTAGCTCATGGAGTCTTGGGGATAATTAAATTTGGTGATCCATGTCCAATGTCCTGGTACTTTGCAGATTCTCAATAAACATCAACCTTTATGATTGATAGGGCTTGTAGCTCTGCAGAGAAGATCACTTTCTAGCCTCTTTAGGACTTATGTTGGCTATGTCCCCATTGACAATTTTGCACACTTAATTTCCACTTGCCAGTTTCTCTTCTCTCTACCTCCAACTTGATTCTTCTCTTTCCTCATCTTCTGGTGAGATCCATTACTGATTCTGCTATTCAAAGCAACTAGCAAATGTCTCAGTAACAGAATCAAATAGACCTACCTCTAATCTCCAAATTGCACTTACAATTTCTCCTATAAAACTTAACTACTGTAGTGGTCGGTATTAATCCTTGTCTATTGTAATTGATCATCTCTGATCTATAACTGAATTTCAATTTTTTTTCATTTATTCTGCAAATGTTTGTTGAGCATTTGCCAAGCACAGATACTGGACCAGATCTCCCAAATACAAGGCAAATAAAATAGCCAACAGCTTACAATCTTGTAGGGAAAAGCGAATCTGACAGCAGGTAGAGCAGATAGGCATTCTAGGCCTCGTGACCTGTCTCTGCCACTTCAGATCACCCACTTGGGAATAGTCTGAAGAAGGTCTCTCTTGAGCTGAATCAAAGAAAACTAGCTGTCTATAAGCTGACCAGGTGGGCAAAGGCGTTTCCAAGCAGAGGGAATGTTTTATAAAAATTGGAGAACTGTAAGCAGTTAAGGGTGGTGGGAGCCAAGTGTGGAAGTAGGGAACACAAGTTGAGAGGGAAGCAAGGCCGTCAAAAGTCTTCAGTGGAGTTGTGGCTCATTGGTAGCATTTGCCTAGCATGTGTGAGGCATTGGGTTCTATTCTCAGCTCCACATAAGAATAAATAAATAAAATAATGATATTGTGTACATCTACAACTAAAAATAAAAAAGTCTTCAGTGTCCTTCAAGGAGAGATGATGGGGACATGATGGGACACCAAGACCCTGGGCAGCCCTACTAGGTCCAACACCTGGTTAGCTCAGTGACACTTGAGCTCTGCCTGTCCTGTGACAGCAGACCACTCCATCAAGTAAGGTCCATGGCTCTACTCTGCTCATCAGTCGTGCCTCAGTTCAGCTCATTTCCAAAACACATGTCAAGATATGGGCCTTGATTTGAGGTATTTAATCTACCTGTTTTGAAACAACATCATAGCAAGACAAAATTCAAATAAGAATGCATTCTTTAATTATCATTAACCAAGTCAAGATAATGAGTTCCATAATTACAACACAATGAAGTTTATCATTCCCAAGCCCAGGAGAAAATATAAAGAAATAGCTACTTTTTAAAATTTGTTTGTTTTTCTTTGCAGCTTACTTTCAATTTATTTTTTAAATGCATAAATTTAATAAGCAGTCCAGATGTAGTTGGCTGCTAAAGAAGGGAATCATTCATCCTTAGAATAAAATGCATTGACTTCTAGGATTTTAGATCTCACATAAGAAAGCAAGCTTCTATCAGAGGAGTCCAGGGCTTCCACACCTGCTGAAACAGGGTCAGGCCTCAGCAGCTGGCTCAGTTCCTCCTGGGTGAGGAGGGTTTTTGTACGCCGAGGCAGTGGAGAGCTATCACTGTGGTGGACGTTCGGCTCCGGGACCAAGTTGGAAATAAAACGTGAGTAGATCGCTGGTTTCCTTCTGTTGTCCATGTCTCGTGGTCTCTGTGTGTGTGAACTGAGCCTCTGCAACCTGGCTCTGGCACCCTCCAGGGAAAGGTGACTCTGGGATCTCTAAGCAAACTTAAGAATCAAAGGCACATTTTTGTGTGAAGAGCAAGATTAAGTCATTGAGTGAGAAAAACTAGGTAACAGCCTTAGACACTCATGGGGGGCATGCTAGAAGGTTCCAGAGCCTCACTCAGTTGTCAGGGAGGGAGACTCAGTTTTTGTACAGGAGGGAAGTTCAGAGCAGTCACTGTGGTACACGTTCGGCGCAGGCACCAAGCTGGAGATCAAACGTGAGTATCTTTTTCAACCGATTCTTCTCTTCTGTCTAATTGCCTTGCTTTGTTCCTTTTTGTATGGTTTTGTTAGTTAGTTGTTGGGGATGTGAGAGATTTCATCCCCAGATTAGGTTCAGAGGAGGTGGCTAGTCCTAATTTATAGGATTTCTAAGTCAAAATAAAAATGGGGAAGAAGGGTGGCTGCCCCTCTAGAGGGGTTTTCGTAGGGGAACAAGGCAAAGCGAGTCATTGTGATTCACGTTCGGCGAAGGGACCAAACTGGAAATCAAACGTGAGTACCATTTTGCTCACTATTCATGACGTTTGGGCCGTGTTGTAACATTTGTGTGATTTTGTGATATTTTGGTGAACCATTCCTGGTGACAGAGAAGTCAATCGAAGAAAACCAGAAAATAGCCAATTTAAAAGCAAATAGATGAGGGGTTCAGTTGGGAGAAGAGAGAAATGGCTGGGTCTTTCTGGGAACCAGCCTATCTGGTGAGACTGGCAGCCAGGGCGGGTTTTTGTAGAGGGGGGCAAGCTGGAGCTGGCACTGTGGCTCACGTTCGGTGGCGGGACCAAGTTGGAGATGAAACGTAAGTGCCTTTTCCACTGTTTTTTCTCATGGAATTGTAAAATCGGGGGGGTTTTCATGTTTGGAGTGTAAGTGGAGGTCAGTTCTGAACAAAACAGGTTTCTTCCAATTGAGTTGGGGGCTGAAAGTCTGTTCACCTCAAAGAGGAGGGGTTTTTGCTGAGGGGAATGTGATCTAGTTAATGTGGTGGATCACCTTCGGCCGGGGGACACGATTGGAGATAAAAAGTAAGTGATTTCTCTGTTGCCTTCTGGAACTTGGGTGCAATTCCCCTTAGCCCTGACTTGTAGAAGCTGAAGTAGGAGGTTGTCATCAGTTGCAACCTCCAAAAGTAGATTTGGAAACAGAAATACTTAAAAGGGCTAAAACGAGTGACTCAAAGTGGGGGTAAAACAGGGTAGACAGAAAAGTCAATTTCTGATTTTTATTAACTTTTGTCAGATGTTGTGTGGGTTTCGGTCATTGCGCATTGTGATATGGAAAAGTTGGGAAATGGACTTCCTAGTCTGTTTTCTTTTTTGCCTGATAAATTGTTTTATAAGGCAACTATGAAATGAATAGCAGGCCCCAAAAAATCACTTAAGTTAGAAAATTAAGCCTGTTTATCATGTTGAAGAGAATCATCAGCATTGTCACTTGTAGAATGTAATGAGTGCTAAATGCCAAACCAAGAGATTCTGCAGGATTCAGATCTCAACAGATCTCATTGATAGCTCCTTTGTCAAAATTTAATTTCTATACTAGAGTAAATTTGAGGTGATCTGTTATCATACTGGTGAGAAGACAATTGACCCCTAAAACTGTTTTTTAAAAATGTGTTTAAATAAAGGAAATTAATAATTATGTTTTTTAAATGTCCATGGTTTATAGGAAATATTTTAAAGAACATGTTGTTTTACTACCTTAGTTATCACGGGTCCATATTCTCACGCCACGTGGCTTTGCTGGCGTGGTCTGTAGGTCCCGTGGCGCCCTTTCTGGTACTGAGTACTCCCGTGGCCACTCACGTGGCAGTTCTCCTGGCCGCTAAAGGCCACGGAAACCCGTGTTTGCTGGGTGACCTCTGCTGTGACCACTTTTCCTGGTACACAATGATGCAGATGATGCCACTAACATAGAGAGGGCAGAAACAGGGTGGGCAGAACACCAGTACAGAGAAAACTGATTTATTAAAGTTTTCAGGAATAAAATTATATTAAAATCCATTATTATGTCCTCTCAATGAGGCTGTAAAAAAAGATTTTTTTAGTCATATATCATTATTTTATCTAATCTATTTACAAAAGCTCAACCCAAAAGAAAGAAATAGAGTCTACATAACTCTTTCAGGGTAAAATCCACAGGAGTGAAAACCAAGTTTGATGCCAGCAATCTGACCCCTCAGGACTTGGTAAATTCACTCTGAGTTCACATGAATACAATTGCACTGTATTAACTGGTAGAAAAAAAAGTCTGGGACATGTTTTTAACTTTCATAAACTTAACTGCTTGGGTAGAATTATGTTTGACTTGTAGCTAATTTTATATAAATGTGATTGATAAAAAGTTAACAGACATTTTTCAATACTGTAAATATTGTGATGAAAAAATTAATCTGGCTTAACATCATAATGACTTGTTTTTGTGTAGCCCCACTGCTTTCAAATCTGTGCTTAAGAAGGATTACTTTGTTCTATGCAGGACAGGACTATTTTAGGGCTCCTTTGAAACCTTTTAATGCATTTTAGAACTATTTATTTAACTATTTTAAGTTACTTTGAAACTATTTGGGAGCCTTTAAAAAAACTCTATTAAAGGCTAATGCAAAATCTTGAAATAATTTCCACATCAAATACAGTAATTACTAAATATTTTAAAGCTAGATGGAAAATTTGAATTGGCCCAGGAGGATCTCCACAGAATGTATTACTCTGCTTATTTTTCAGAGATCACATTATTTTGACACTGAGACTATTTTAATACAATCATTTTGTGAGAAAATAGTAATGAAGGTTTAAAAAGGAAAAAAAATAATAACAGTTCATTTATCTTATGTTGAAGTGCTTGGTTAACATTGGGGTTAGCTTTATTAAAAAAAAAATTAAAGCTGCTCACATATCTGTTGACTTCTCCCAGCCAAGAACTCTTGATTTTCATTTTTCGTTTTTACTATTTTGCTGGGCTTGCATCCCCGCTGAGGGGATTTCCAGGAGGACACCTGGCAGCTGCTGGAGGTCAAAACTGAAGCTGGTCAGGTCCCCCAGACAGGTGGCCCGGGTGACTGTTGACACCTCCAGGTCTGGCTAAGAATTGCTTCATGTGGTTGCAGACCATCAGGCAGGGCCCAGTCTCACTTTCAGGGCTTCATGAGGGACAGGAGAGCTGCCTGCAGGTCTCCAGAGGGACATGCCACCCAGCTGAGGCCCACCAGACCCAGACGCAGCTGGGGCTGCACAGGGCCTTCCTCTACATGGAGGGGTGGAGTCTTGCCCTGAGGATCCTCAGGGTCAGATGAGGTGCCCTGTTTTCTTGGCCCAAAGCCCTGAGCTTTTGGAGGTGGCAGGGGACACAGTTGAAAGGCCTCAGAATGGCTTCAAAGAGTTCAAACTCAATTTAGCACTTTTTAAAGGGGCAGCGGGGAGCAAGGGAGTAACACCAAACCCTGGACACCTTACGGTGCTTCCTGGCTCTGCTGCCTCTCTGCAGCCACCCACCAACACACACCCAAGCCGAGACCTTCCTGGGACTTAGCCAGCTCTGTGCTTCCTTCCCCAGGGGACGTGGCTAGACCAAGTGTCTCCATCTTCCCACCGTCTTCGGAGCAGTTGCAGTCCGGAGGGGCCACGGTCGTGTGCTTTGTGAATGACTTCTACCCCAGAGACATCAACGTGAAGTGGAAGGTGGACAACGCCTATTACAACAGCAATATCCAGAACAGCTTCACGGAGCAGAACTCCAAGGACAGCACGTACAGCCTCAGCAGCACCCTGTCGCTGACCAGCTCAGAGTACAACAATCACAAGAGCTATACCTGCGAGGTCAGCCACAGCAGCCTGTCCTCGCCCATCACCAAGACGGTCAAAAGGAACGAGTGCTAGAGTCAGAGGCCGCGCCCTCCCGCCGCAGGCCTGGGCCCTCTCCCCACGAGGGACCCACCCCAGTTGCAGTCCTCCTGCCCCTCCCCACCTCACCCCTCCTCCTCCTTGGCTTGAATCAGCTGGTAATGGGGGAACAACAAATAAAATCAATCTTTGCACCTGAGGCTCTCTCCTTCCTCATTTAATGTTTTAGGCATTATCCTTCAATTACCCAGTTTCCCCTTTAAGGGACTAAATGTCTAGTTGCCCTAACACGCACCACCATGTATAAAAACCATCCTCCATTTCACCCTATCCGTCTGCCCTGCACAAGACCCTGCTCTCTGAGACCCACACACCACCTGCTCATGCCCCTTCCCCTGGGCCATGGCTCGAGAGCCTCCCCCTTGGTCTCCCCTCCTCAGCAAGTTTCCCTAAGGACGATGGTTCCTGCAGTCCACATCCCTTGATCCAATTCAAGCTTCCCTGAAAACTTAGCAGAGCAAATGTTTCAAAAGACGAAAGCAGTATAGGCTGAGGGTGGGCTCAGTGGTGAGCACACGCAGCGTCCTGTGTTCCATCCCCACCACTGGAAAAAAAGAATACAGCCCTAAGGAAGGTCAATCATTGCAAGATGATATGGAGTAATAAAGCCACATGACCAGCCTGAATGAACAATCAATAGGGTAATGTCAAGTCCATTACACACTGGGATACCCGCACCTGGGTTTAACCAAAGATTGTGCCTTTTTTACATTTGTAGATGTGTTTTAGGGACAACTTCTGACTGTTAAGAACAGTCTAGAGCACTTTCCACAACTGACTTGAACCCTCACGACACTGGAGAGTGCACGCTGGGTTTGTGGGAATGATGGGCAGGTTCTGGAAAGTGGAGTTTTCTGTAACTCAGCAATCCCACTCTTTAAAGGACCACGTCCCTATCCACAAAAAAAAAAAAAAAATCTGTGCAAAAATGCTTACAGCAGCTTCATTCATAAAAGCCCAGAACTGGAAATAACACAAACGTCCACCAGCAGTAAAATGGGTCATGAAATCGTGGTACGTTGACCACTGAGCTGCTGGGTGAGGAGAATGGCCATAACCGAGGGCTGAAACACGAGGATAAGCCCAAGAACCCAAACCCCAGGGAGGCAGTCTGTGCTCCATCCAAATAAAGTTCAAGACCAGGTAAGATAAAACTAGAAGTCGGACTGGGGTACTCTTGGCTGGGGTGAGGCAGATGTGGTGCCTGGTGGGGACTCTGGGGGGTTGGTAGGTTCCATTCCCCCCTGTGGCGTGTGCCCCTTTATGAGTTTATGAGAAGGTCCTGAGCTGTAGGATTAGGAACCATGCACTTTCTGTATGTCTTGGCTTCAAAATCAGTCACTCCCAGTCTACACAGATGAGGCTGGGAGAGGGGAGGGGAGGGGAGGGCCGCTCAGCTGTGAGCAGGTCCTGGGGGTCAAATCTCTAAGCCACAACTCTGCTCTCTCAAGCCCTGTATTGCTCTGCCTGTCAGAGTTCATGGTGCTGTGCAGACGGGGGTCAGACAACATGCCATCTCACTGGGGTCTTCTACACCCACGGGACCAGGAGCACAGACAAGAAAAAAATGAATGGAACTGGACTTCAGCAAGGGCATAAAGGATGGAAGTTACTTATCCAGATGTAGGGAGCCACTTAGGAAAGGCCTGCTTGGGCAGTGGGGAGGGACATGAAGAACATCAATGTCCTCTCCCCACCCTCCTCAGTGTGGCCTTGGGCTACCATTGCCAATCACGCCCCCGCACGACACAGACCTGAAGCACCTCTACCAGCTGCAGGAGTGCAGAGCAGCTCAGACTCTGCCCACTCTATTAACACATAACCCAGCTTCCATAATGCTTTCCTTTCCCTTCTTAGAACTGGAGCCGTAAACTCGTACACGTGCGTGCGCGCACACACACACTCACCCTTGATAGGGACATACCTTGCCTTTCTGTCTCTGGACAGTATTCATAATTATCACATCTTTGAAACTTTGGAGATCTGAGTTTAGTTCGGAAAGACTCAACAAATTCCCTTCAGATGACACAAACTTGTTCACCCATCTCTGGGGACCAAACTGAATAACCAAGGGACTTCTAATCTGGCTACAACTCCAAAGCAAGCTCTTCTAAGAAGGCAAAGCTCTGAAGCCAGCCCCACCCCAACTCAAGCAGGAAGATGTCCTGGAGTTTCAAATTGTGTCCCTCAGAAGAACACTCTCAGCTCCCAGTTCTTGGAACCCATGGATGTGACCCGACTTAGAAGGTGGGTCTTGCAGACGTCATCAAATCAAAGTGGGATCATATGAAGATGTTGATGAAGATGAGGTGAAACTGGATTTTTTATTCACTGCTTGTGGGAATGAAAATTGATATAGCTACTCAAGAATGTCCATTTCTTGAAAAACTAAATAAAATACATGCACCACATGACCCAGCAATCACATTGGGCATTTATCCCCAAGAAATGAAAACTTAAGTCCACACAAAAACCTGTACATAATTGTTCATAGCAGTTTTATTTATGAATAGCCTCAAATTTGAAATAACCTACATGTCCTCAATAGGTGTCCCTCAATAAGTGACTGGTCAAACAGGACTAACATGTCCCTCAGCAGGTAATTGACAGGTCATGCCTTGGAATCCTATGAGGAACGGGATTCAGAGGACACAACCTCACTGGTGATTCTGAAGGGGATCACACAGAGTGAAGAAGTCTAGTCTCAAAGGGTCACAGACCATAACATTCCTTTCATGTAATAGTCTTGAAATGACAGATATGGACAGGGAGGGCAGATTGCTGGTCATGGGGGAATTTGGGTGATGGGGACAGGAGAGCAATGTGACCATACAGGGGACATCACAAGGGAAGTCTCTGTGGTCAGGGGTGATTCTGCATCCCAACTGCAGTGATAGTGACACATGACAAAACCACGAAGACCTACACACCCTGCGTCAGTGTGCAACTCTTGGTTTCGAGTTGTGCTCTGCAAGAAGTAACAGTCAGGGCAAACTGTGGGGGTCATCCAGACCTCTCTCCTATGTTCTGTCTCTGCAACATCCTGCAGAATATCATTACAGTATTTTAAGATAAAAAGTTTTTTAAAAAGAAGATGAAGTCATACTGGATGAGGGACAGCCTTGAGCCAATGGCTGAGGTGTGTTTGGAGAAGCAGAGACACACAGGGAGAGTACCCTATGGCCAGGGAGGCAGGCGCTGAGGAGGTAGCCATGAAGCACTGAGCGCTGCCGGGAGCCACCAGGAGCTAGGAGAGCTGTGGGGAGGTCTGTCCCTCAGGCCCTCCAGAAGAAGCCAACCTTGCCAACTCCTTAACTCCACAATTGTGAGACAATAAATGACTTGTTTAAATCCCCGGTGTGTGGACTTAGTGAGGACAGTCCCAGAAAACTGACATAGTGTGGCTGCAGAGAGACAGGTCAAGTCCCCAGGAACATCCTCCTGCACTGCCAAGGTGTCCCGTAGGTGTGACCTCCCCAGGGACGGCTGGCCAAGGCCATGCACACACACACACAGCACTCCTAGGGCCTGAGAGGTCCTCAGGTCCAGAAAGTTCAGGTCGATGTGAGTGAAAGGCCAAACCGACAAGAGACTGAGCCTTCTCGTGGGAGGTGGCCTGCTTGGGGCTCTAAGCTTAAGCTCTGGAGTTAGAAAGCCCTCACGGTGCTGTGTGAGCCTCAGCAAGGTTCTTCACCTGTGTGGCCCTCACGTCTCACCTGTAGGATGCAGGAGTGATGGTACCACCTAGTAGGTCAACAACTGCCAAGACTCAGTGCCAATGTCAGGGGCTCGGCACACCGACCAGCTCCTCCCCAAAGCTCATGGGCGCTGGCTGTTGGAGGAGCACGCTGTGCCCTCCTGGATCTGCAGGGTGGGCTCTTGGGCTTCAAGCCCCATGGGTCCCATGGTAGGTTTAAGGAAAAATGGAGGAAAGAGAGAGAACAGAGAAAGAAAAACAAAAGAAAGAAGGGCAGAAAAAAAATAATGGGAAGGAGTCTGCCCAGAAAACAGGGGGACTGCACCATGACAGCCCCACCGACATCAGGGGGAGCCCCTCTCTGCAGTGGGACAGGCTCTCAGCACACGTGAGCTAGCCGGTGTGAAGCAGCAGGCATTCCAGGGGAGAAGAGGCAGGCCCAGCCATGGCCCCGAGCTGGACACCAACCACTGTATGGTGAAGATGCCTTAATGGCAGACGATGGGCTGTTTGTCAGTCAAGACACAGCACAGGAGGGAAGACTGACACTCCCAAGAGTGGGCAGTGGGTCAGCCTGACAACTGTGTTTATCAAAGATTAGGGCAGAGCCACCGCCAACCCTGCATCTCACCCGCCACTCCTATCAGCCACCCACACACCCAGCCCCCATCTGCACCCAAGCCCCCGTCAGTGGGACAAAGTGCTGCACAGGAGACTGGGAAGCCCTTTCCAGCTCAAATGTCTGCAGACATCACAGCCCTGAAGTGGGATCTTCTGTGGCTTCAAGGGGCTGTGGTCTCCATTTTAAGCTTTTTTCTATATAAGGAAGAGCCTTCAGAATGAGGTTTCATAAAGTTGGTGCTAATGCCTTTGCTCCAACAGACCCCTGAGCAAGTCAGCAAGTTGCATGTGTTATTTTGGAGAAGAGGAAAAGGGAGATGAGAGAATGGTGGAAGATGGGAGAAGGGGGGGGGGGATGTGGAAGAGGAGAAAGAAGAAGCAAAGGCCAACGGAGGCGTACAGGGGAGGAACAGGAAGGGGAAAGAGGAAGCCACACAGATGATGCTTCTTTGCCTTTGTACGCAGCGTGGGTCCAGGCCCTGGGGCCCCAAGGCATAGCTCTTCGTCCTGGTCAACGTGACAGCCCTCTTTGCTCTTTCTTACAGCGGGACCCGGGAGCCCATGAGTGTGGGTCTGTTTACCTCCATGGCTGGTGCCACATCCAGGGGCTCTGCAGCCCTCTCCCCCGGGTTTGATCAAGGGGAGCCACACCAGTGGTGGAGTCAGCCAGAGCCTGCACGACAGGAGAGGATTAGCGAGCAGGCTGTCCCCATACAGGGCGTCCTGGAAAGTATCCACAGCTCACTTAGCAAGCTGCTTTACCCTGGGCCTCTGCTTCCTCCGTTTCCTAGCCCTGGGGCCATCAAGCTCTGGACATGAGG